TTTTTTTTCATTTTTGTCTATATTTTACGGCAGTTAAGTTTAAATTAATTTAATTATTTTCATTTATAATTTTTGTATTGTAATAAAATTGTAAACGCACGAAGGAGAAAAAAGTAATAAATTAATTAAAACAACAACAAAAATATATTAAGTCGAAGGGTTAGTAGTGGTAAAGCAAAAAGTAATTAATAAAGCAAAATTATAATACAAAGTAATGCGTAGACATATTAGTGTGTGAGATTAAATATAAAAAAAAAGAAATAAATAAATAAAATATAAATAAATAAAAAATAAATAAATATAAAAAATAAATAATTGAACGATAACAAATATTTGCAATTACGCTAAAGCATGTACAGCTGTAGCATATAATGCGCATTCTTTAAAATGTGTTACCAAATAAAGCAGCGCATTAAGTAAAAAAATAAATAAAGTGCAAATGCAAAATTTATAAAAAATTATGAAAACAAAATACAAAAAAAAAAAAAACATTTTGTATGAACCTTAAGCCAAGCAATGCAACACAAGTGTATGTATTTAGCCTTTTAAACCTTCATTTCATTTCACAAGTTTTAAGCTTTTACGAAATGCAAGCAAATTAAAATTGAAATAATTAGCAGAAACTTGTATTTATAATAAATTATGTTTTGCAAAAAACAAAAAATATTTTTTATAGTTTGCTGCTTAAATATAATAATAATATTTTTTTTCCAATTGGTTTGCCAGGCAAAGCAACATAAGCAATTTCATTGGCATATAATTAGGTAAAGTTACAAACAAACTATTATATGTATATACGATTATATACAAATATACGCATATATTAGCATATATGAAATATTTCCAATAAAGACACTAGCAAGTGAAATGGTTTAGTTTAAACAAATAAAAGCTAAATTTAATTTACCAAAATAAAACAAAAAAATTTAATATTAAAAAACGCAATTGAAAGTAAAAAAAAGTTATTTAAATAAAAGTGCATGGAAGAGCAACTTAATAAAAGCATTATAAGTCTAATAGCAATCGTAGTTTTACAATTAATTAATTAATTAAATATATTGAGCATTTGGTTAGCGAGTAATTAAAATAAAGCAGAAAACTAAACAAAATTTAATAAAAAATTAATTGAAAAAAATAAAAATTAATTAAAATTGATTGCAAAAATAATACAAATTAATTTAAAAAATTAATAAAAATTATTTGAAAAAATTAATTGATAAACAATTGCAAATGTAATTAAAGCAGACACGTGAAATTTTGAAGCGCATAGTAATTATAAATTATAAAGCAAAAAACAAATAAAATAATATACAAATTTAAATGCAAACATTTTAAGAGGCATTAAATTTACATAGAGCATACAACAACACTACAGTCAACGGCAGTTTACAAGTATAAGTAGACACAGGTGTACGAAAGCATGATATARGCAAAGTATGAAAATACAAAACAAAACAAATTGCTTGTTATAAATTACTTTACATTACAAAAACAAAAGCAAAAACCAATTTATTAAAAAAAAAAATTAAATAAATAATGAATGAAGATACAAGAAAAAAAATGTAATAGCGAACTAAATTTATGCATTAAAATTATGAAAATAAAATTAATAAGTATGAAATAAAATAAAAAGTGAAAAACAAGAATATTTTGGATTCAGTTTTTTATACGATGAACAGGGTTTGTCCGAAAAGTAAAAGGACTGAGTCGATTTAAAAACAATTTATTGAACTAATCGTTGGCATGCCGACCTTGGTAAGGTAACTGTTCAGAAGAAAGGCGGTGTGAGCCTTGGCGTCGTCGTGGTGCAACTTCCAATCGGTTGCGATGTCATGTCGGACCCGATTGACCCTTGGCATTGACAGTGTGTACAGGAAGAACAAATTCATCGTGGGCGATGCGTTTAATGTCAAAAACACAATGAGCTCACTCAGCTTACACTTTTATTTTGCTCATTTTTCCCTTTTTTGGGTGAGGAGCAACATCTGGGTAAGCTTGCTTGATCATATCAAACGTCTCGGTCGCAGATTTACCGAGTTTCACACAGAATTTATTCGCGTACCTTTGCTGTAACCAACGCTGCATTTTCGGCTTGCATCACTCACAGAAAAACGCTCCCCGAAAGTGTTTGTCCTGACTCTCCAGGTGCTCAGAGACAATTAACCAGTCGCTCCTTTGTTAGATAGGAGCGCCCTTTACTGAACTCAGACTGTGCTCGCACACTCCGAAATATAGTCGCGGCAGAAAAAAATCAATCCCATCTTCCCGCACAAACCCTGTATTTGGTTTGCCACTATGTTTAATTATGTGCTTGTATGGACAACTTTTTTATTGGATGAGTTATTTGCAGAAGATTTGGAAAGAATTTATGTTATTGTTATTGTAACGGGTACCTAATCCCCTTAAGGATGGTAGGGATTAGAAAAGTTGTCATCGACGTGCTGTTTCGACGGGTTCGCACCAAAGGGAGAAGTAAGTCAGCTGTGTAGGGTTAGTAGGGCATACAAAGAGGTGGCTAATGTCATGCGGCGACTCATTGCACGCTGAGCATATGTCAGAGTCTATTCGAGATAAGTCAGAGTTTAATATGCTACAGTATACAGAAAGAAGTCAATCTCGTCTCTTCGTCTGCAATGGGTGGTGATAGTATACAATTCAATGAGAGGAAGTCGGCGAAGCTGTCAATGACACCACTGTGAATGGCGGTAGGTGCTTGTCGGAGGTAAGTAGCGTCCGCAGTCTGGTCGGCGCATTGTTTGACGTCGTCAACGTAGTTGAGGAATGGCCTCTTGATATTCCTAGATGATGATGATTTCTGCGAAAGCATCACAGCTGAAATAGCTTAGAGAGGAATTCATTATGCTCATTAACACTCGGCATCCTCTCGTACTCCGAAGTGCTGCCGGCTAGTGGGTTGAGGATTTTGTTGCAGCTCTGTACTTGGGTGATAATAACGGAAGAAATACAGACTGTCGAAAGTCACTCCTAAAATTTTAATGTTATTGGCAATCGGAATCTTAACGCCATCGACTGAAATATTAAAGTAAAGTGTAAGGTAAAGGAAGAAAGATAGATCGGGGAGATAGTCGATTTACGTTTGATCACATGCCATCGCTTCCATTTCCCGACATCATTATCGGGCAATCATCAGTGTAGGAGGCGATAGAAATTCCCTCTGGTGCTAGCGGAAGTTTCGAGATGTGGAAGGTAAACAATAACGGGCAAAGGACACCGCTTTGCAAAACCCCTGTTAAACCCGGATAACGTTTTCAGTCATCAAGCAAGCGTAGATTTTTCCATGCCCTCCAGAAGCGTTGTCAAAGGGTTTTGACACGTCCAACGCTACGAGAATCGTTCTCTCACGGGCTGGTTTCAGGTTAAGGCCACGAACTATCTGGGCGTTTATGACGCAAAGTGCTATGGTGGTACTATACACTTTTCGGAAGCTATGCTGGTGGTTTGCTAGGCTCAGGTGGTGAGTGAAGGTCGGGAGTAGCTAGGCCCAAGTATCTTCACTACTGGAGAAAGGAGAGTTATCTGACAATAGGCCTCCCCTTTGTTAGCGGATTTCCTAGGTTTCAGTAGTGGGACCACTCTTCCGACTTTCCACATATCGGTTATTTGGAAAGTGGTCAACGTTAGGTTGAGGTTTACGTGTTCTCCTTCTTTTAAGTCTGCTGTTGGACTTTTATCTGGACCCACGAGATAACATATATATTGGTTATCGCTATCTGTGCAGTCTTCGAGCTCTCTCACACTACCTACCTCACGAAGCTGGCTTGCGAATTCGTCAGACAACAGGGTGTAATCGGAGGTTGTGTCGTTGGAATGTGGCCTTCTGAAAGAGTTTTTCGAACCGCTATTGTCAACGATCTTGCCGCCGTGTTAAGGAATTTGTTGTCTTTGTGCCTTACTCCATGACCTTAACGTTAAATGTCATTACAACAACAAAATGGAACTAAAAAATCGTTTTAGGAATAATATTGATTTTACGACCTTGCTTACCTTTTAAGCACTAATCGTTCGATAGAGAAAAACAAATAGCAGTGCAGTCGAGCATATTCATTGCCAATAAAGTTTTTATCGATTTATTTGAATTCGGAAAAATATACAATATCGGTAAATATAATGTAAATATTGTAAAAGACAGTAACACTTATTGACTAGTAAAAAATACAGTAGATAATTATATATATCATAGATAAGAATAATACGCATGCAGAAATTTATTAATATCTAAAACGAATTTTATGCCTACGCGACAAATATCTACGACGGTACGAGTATATGTATGTATGTATATATATTTATATTTTTTTATTGAAAATATCAAAATTTGCGTTTGAAAATTTGACATAATAGTTATTGTTGTATTTTTATATTTATTATTTACTTTTAGAGCATTACCATGCAGTTTCACTGGCTACCGTTATTGCATATGAGTTTTAAAGTAACGTTACAGAATATCGTTTTGTGGAGTGTGTGGAGATGAAATTATTACATAAAATTATTGTGAATTGCATCAAAAATTGTAGGTTAGTTTTGTTCGTTAAATCGTATTTTTTTCCTTTTTTATTTATGCACTGGCTATGATTAGCACACATAGCTTTCTGAATTTTTTTATGTTTATTTAAAAGTTGTGAGCATTTTCTAGCACTTTGTTTGCATTTCAATAATGAACAGCTAAGGTAAAATATCAATATTAACATTACACGCTTAAATTGAATTTAAAGCATTATGTAATAGTTTTGTGGCACATACAATTATTTGAAATACACATAAATATTTGTTCGTCAAATATAAATAATAAATATTGCTGATTACTTTTTTTCTTTCAAATCAAA